AGAGGTCAGACATAAGGATGGCTTCATCTGTCTTCATTAACTCTCTGAGTCCAGAACTAGAGGAGGGATTGAATGATGGTGCTGGGCCAGATGTTTCCTGAAGCCACCTCCCATTTTTGTTCAGTTGCCAATGAGCAACTTCTTTCAAAGATGTCACTTTCAAATGCTCAGTATCATTAAATGGCAGGAATGGAATGGAGTGGAACAGAACAGAACAGAACAGAATAGAATAACAGAGTTGGAAGGGACCTTGGAGATCTTCTAGTCCAACCCCCTTCTCAGGGAGGAAACCCTATACCATTTCAAATAAATTGTTCTCCAATCTCTTCCTAAAAACTTCCAGTGTTGGAGCAGCCACAACTTCTGGAGGCAGGTTTTTCCACTGATTAATTGTTCTAACTGTCAGGAAATTTCTTCTTAGCTCTAGGTTGCTTCTCTCCTTCATTAGTTTCCATCCATTGCTTCAACACACATTTCCCCCTATTTAACCTGCTTTGTCTAGAGGCTCAGAGGAATGACATTAGAGCTTTCTCAGTAGGTGTGGAGGTATTACCCAAAGGTTAGATTCAAGAAGTCAACGAACTTGGAGACAAGGTGGGCTGCCTGGAAATACTCTCCTTCATTGGAAATACTCTTACTGGCAGAGTGGCTATTTATCAAAATGGTCTGGAATTTAATCACAAAGCAAGAGAAGAGCAACTAAGATACCTATACCAAGGGTAGGCAACCTTGGCTCTTTTATGACTCATGGACTCCAACTCCCAGCATAGCTGGCTCAGGAATTCTGGGAGATGGAGTTGAAGTCCATGAGTCATAAAAGAGCCAAGGTTGCCTACCCTTGGTATAGGATCTGCTGCTACGTGCAGGGAGTTGGACTATAATATCTCCAAGGTCCCTTACAACACTGTTATTCTATGTTTTATGTTCCCAATCTATTTTTTTTCTTTAAAGAAAAAGTATTCATGTTTTGATTTTTTTTTAAAAAAAATGCTGATGTCACAGCAGAAGATATTTTTGAACAATGGACTCAGAAGTTAATTTAAGAGTGTACGTCTCTATAGATAGGATTGTATTTAAAAGAGGTTATGAAAGGGGAAGAAGTTTTAACCGACAGGATTGAGACTGATCTAAAAGTGGCTTTAAAAAACAAGTTACGAGAATGATATGGAACATGGTGTTACATTGGACATACAAACAAACTGTCTGATGTCTTAAATAATGAAAAGCAATTCACAAATAATAAACTGAGAGAACGACATGGATAATTTTCCTTTATTGGATTTGCAAAAGAGTGTGGTCTCCTCATGAGGAGCAACTGACTGGAGCCGTTTTGGGTGATCTCAAGTTCTCTTCTTGTCTGGAGAGTTTCAAAGAGACAGTTTGCTTGCTGGTTTTCATTACGTCACCACCATCATCTCCACTTTTCTCAGAGCTGTCTTCAGTCCTGCATTTCTTCCTCCAGAAGCTAAAAAATTGAATGAACGTTTGGCGGAAATTCAATGTTAAGAGTTTTCTATATCTGCTAGAATCTTCCTGCTTGTCATTTTCTGAATTCTTGCCAAATACAGTGGTACCTCGGTACTTGATTGCTTCAAAACGCATTGAATTTCGTATTCGATGCATTTTGATGCGAAATTGTTGTACCAGTACCCATGGAAGTCAGCCAGACTGGGAAAGTTGCTGCAAAAGGAAATGGGTGACAGTTTGCAGAGGGAGGACAGGAAGTCTGTCATGCTGGGAAGGTCGCTGACATAGGAAAAGGTACAGATAGGAAGCCCTTCCTGGTTGAAACAAAAGATCACGTGGTAAGTCGTATGGTTTGTGTGGCACTCATCCTTTTTAGTACTCGTTGTGTCTCCTGGAACCAATTAAGGACGAGTACTGAGGTATCAGTATAGATGGAATTGCTTATTAAAGTGCCTCTTCTAAAGTGAAGAGGCACTTTAATAAGGAGTCCAGAAAAAAAAGGGATTTCCTATTAATGAATGTTCCTGATAAACTACAATAACCTCCATAAACAGAGGCTTTAGTACAGGGGTCTTCAAACTTGGCCCTTTTATGACTTGTGGACTTCAACTCCCAGAATTCCTCAGCCATGCACGCTGGCTGAGGAATTCTGGGAGTTAAAGTCCACAAATCATAAAAGGGCCAAGTTTGAAGACCCCCTGCTTTAGTATATAAGCTTTTTCCAAATTTACTTTCTTTTGAACATTCATGTTTGCATACACGTGTCAGAAGTAAGTCTTCATCCTGGTTCATCCAAGCCGGGAATATTATCATTATTATTATTATTATTAAATAAGCAACATGGCGACTGCTTTGGGAAGATGGTTACAGTTTATTGCAGAAGCAGAAAGATGGTTCTTCAGGAAAGAGCAGAGGAGAGAAGAAGAGACTGAGCACATGGCCAGTAGCATTTTATACCCT